CATTAGTTAGTGACTACATATCTATATTTCAGTAATGATAAGACACAGTCCATTAGTTAGTGACTACATATCTATATTTCAGTAATGATAAGACACAGTCCATTAGTTAGTGACTACATATCCATATTTCAGTAATGATAAGACACAGTCCATTAGTTAGTGACTACATATACATATTTCAGTAATGATAAGACACAGTCCATTAGTTAGTGACTACATATTCATATTTCAGTTTAGTTTTCCTTCAGTTTTAGATATAATTTCATTTTTTATCTATTCTTTACCTGAACGGCACACCTTATGCATCAAATGGGTTGAACGCTAGGTTTAGGTTTAGTCGTCTTAATTTTGACCTCCTGCCAGAGACAAACACAGCAATTAAAAGAACCCGCCACTACAATGGTTTCGTGCATTTTTCAACCAACAACAAAAATTCATGCTCACACTGTGATGCACCCACAGCTGAGAGAACTGTGCGTGATCAGAGCCAATACCATGTGAAATGAAATAGCTTGGTATGCTATTCACTAGGCTGTGTCCAGAATATTCATAACTAGTTCAAAGAATGCTATTTCTTTCTCCTTGCATATTATCCTGAATCATTTTTAAAGAAATACGTCTACAATTTTGTATTTGATTTCACAACAGTGGAAAGGTTCAGGCCCGGAGCTAGATTCGGTAAACCTTTGCTTAAACTAATCACAACGTTTAATGTAAAATTTCTTACTTTAGACATTTTTCATCTGTAGTTAAGATATCTGGATATATATATTCAGCGGAAATCGTGTACCTAAAAACATCCATCTGTGACATTTTATTTCGTCATCAAAGACGTCTTCAACTGGATTATTTTTGGAATGCAACTACTCACTCGTTTAATTAATAGTTATTCAATCCAAAACGTAAGTTTAACTTACCTTAGAATACCAAAAACTATATTATTTTCCAATACATATCAAATGCTCTTAATGTTAAAACATACTCAAATAAGGGACGATCTTGTTGACAGTTTGAAAGAGTTGAAGCAATAAATCTTTATATTGTTACGTCTCTGGTCGTTTGTTAATTTTTCGTAGAAATTCTTTCCGAGAAACTTCAGCGATACAAGTCATTTCTTAAATAAAACTAGTTTATTCTTTCTCAATTCAACTTTGCAATACACTTAATTTCCACAGTAACTTTAACTTAAACACACACTATAATTCACCACGATTCACGGACTTTACTACCGCGCTTGACTGAATTGTCTGTCTCTGCCTGTCTGCCATTCTATTATCGATTCATTGTCTGGCACACTTATATACAAGAATACCGCACATCTAGCAAACACTTGAGCATTCACGAACCTTCGAGAATATCATGACGTGTTACTAGCGTCACGTCACTTCCGCTGTTGTAACACTGCCCCTTCCTTAGTATCGTTCGTCTCCCGAACAATAGCCACTTACAATAAACCAATAACAATTAACAATAACTTAATTAAATGTACAGAATTTACAAACACAACATTAAAATTCAACAAAGTCTCTTAATTTTATGGGACGTATCTTCTTCCGTACTGGTCTCCGTCTCGTTGGCTTCTGCTTCATGTGGGATTCATCTGCTTCATCAGTAAATGTCCTTTCGTCAGGAACAGTCACATCAGTGGCAGTAACTTCATCAAGAGCTTCACCGTTTCCCTTCTCAAAACTGAGTAGAGTTTCTTCTTCGATGGTGGCTTCTTCAGGTGGCACGTCTTCAGCAGTGTCTTTTGTTCTGTTG